TCCCCAAACCCGGGGGTCCCGAGCCCCCCAAACCCTGATCCCCCATCCCCGGGGGTCCCCATCCCCACCATCCTGGGGCCCCGATCTCCCCATCCCGGGGGTCCCGATCCCATCCCGGGGGGTCCCGATCCCATCCCGGGGGGTCCCGAGCCCATCCCGGGGGTCCTGAGTCCCCCAAACCCTGATCCCCCATCCCCGGGGGGTCCCGATCCCCTTCAGACCCTGATCCCCCATCCCCGGGGGTCCCGATCCCCTCCATCCTAGGGGTCCCGATTCCCCATCCCGGAATCCGGGTTCTGAGCCCATCCCGGGGGTTCTGAGCCCCCCAAACCCTGATCCTCCCATTCCAGAGGTCCCGAGACCCCATCCTGGGGGTCCCAGTCCCCCGATTCGGGGGGTCCCGATCCCCTCAAACCCTAATTCCCCCATCCCGGGGGTCCTGAACCCCAATCCCGGGGGTCCCAATCCCTCAAACCCTGATCCCCCCATTCCGGAGGTCCCGAGCTCCCACCCCGGGGGTCCCGAGCCCATCCCGGGGGGGTCCCGATCCCCTTCAGACCCTGATCCCCCAGCCCGGGGGTTCCGATCCTCTCCATCCCGGGGGTCCCGATTCCCCATCCCGGGGGTCCCGAGCCCCCATCCCGGGGGTCCCGAATCCCTCAAACCCTCATCCCCCATCCCCGGGGGTCCCGATCCCATCCCGGAGGTCCCGATCCCATCCCCGGGGGTCCCGAGCCCATCCCGGGGGTCCTGAGCCCCCCAAACCCTGATCCCCCATCCCCAGGGGTCCCCATCCCCTCCATCCTGGGGCCCCGATCTCCCCATCCCGGGGGTCCCGAGCCCATCCCGGGGGTCCTGAGCCCCCCAAACCCTGATCCCTCATCCCGGGGGTCCCGATCCCCTCCATCCTAGGGGTCCCGATTCCCCATCCCGGGGGTCCCGAGCCCATCCCGGGGGTCCTGAGCCCCCCAAACCCTGATCCCCCATCCCCGGGGGTCCCGATCCCCCCAGCCCGAGGGGTCCCAAATCCCTCAAACCCCGATCCCCCCATCCCGGGGGTCCCGATCCCCTCCATCCTGGGGTCCTGATCCCCCCATCCCGGGGGTCCCGAGCCCATCCCCGGGGGTCCCGAGCCCATCCCGGGGGTCCTGAGCCCCCCAAACCCTGATCCCCCATCCCCGGGGGTCCCGATCCCCACAGCCCGAGGGGTCCCGAATCCCTCAAACCCTGATCCCCCCATCCCGGGGGTCCCAATCCCCCCATCCCGGGGGTCCTGAGCCCCCCAAACCCTGATCCCCCCATCCCGGGGGTCCCGAATCCCTCAAACCCTGATCCCCCCATCCCGGGGGTCCCAATCCCTCAAACCCTGATCCCCCCATCCCGGAGGTCCCGAGCTCCCACCCCGGGGGTCCCGAGCCCATCCCGGGGGGGTCCCGATCCCCTTCAGACCCTGATCCCCCAGCCCGGGGGTTCCG